TATATCAAGGTAGAGAAGTCCACTATTATTGCCTGAGCACCAAGATTACATCTCGAGGCGCTTGCGCCGAGGAGTGTAAGGTGCGAAGGCAATAATAGACTTCTCTACCGTGGTATATATACTATTTTTTTCACTACTAGCACTTGAAGTACTCTAAATTAACATATTATATTGATAAGAAAGTGAACGGTTGGACAGAATTTTTTGTTTATTAATTTAACATGTCAATCAAGTACGTGGAAGTACAAGTCAAACAGGCCATATTTTGTTCTGTCATTGAGATATTTTCAAAGAGTAATTGTTCGAATTTTTTCAAAATGTGATAATTTTAGGTATGTCATTTCTCTGGAAATGATGGATGGTAGCAATTATTCATTTTATAGAACTTGTCTAAACGTTTATTGAGCGAAATTTCGGGTTGTATTTTCTAAAAGTGTCAATGCCACCGCTGCACTAATAAGGTATATTATCCTCGCCATTAGAGATTGCCGGTACGTCATAAGTAAATGACTCTAGCTATCCAAAACGTTTATAGTAAAGTAACATGAAAAACAGCACATCAAATAAAGACAGTGAATATTCGAAGTGCATTTGAAGGAAACGAAGTGAGTTATTGAATGAGATAATGTGGTAGAAAGAGAAAAAACAAAAACGAATAACCAATGCGTTTTGTAAACCGTATGAATTTGAACTCATTTGACTAACATAGTTCTTCCGTATATTTGTTTGACAGTTGTGATTTTTAATCGTTTACCTGTCACGCACTTTAATCATCGGTTACGCACTTTTCAATCAGTTCTTTTCAGAACTAATCCGTCACTTACGTGTATCCTATTAATCACTTTAATCTCTCTCTACGAATTCCCATGTCTGCAAAGGGTAAAACTTTGCATACACAAGCACAACAGCTTGTGTTAAACTTAGTGCAATATTTTGAGAAGGAGAAAGAAAACGGTGGTCCATTGATACCCGTATCTGCTGTTCAAGATGTAAGTGTGATTATATATACTTATATTTTCATTTAGTACAAACACAAAATTATAGCGAGTGGCCAACGCTTTGGGTATATCTGAGAGGACGGTGCGAAGCATCAAGACAAGAGCGGCATCTAACCCTGTTTTGGAAAGCCCTGGTAAGAAACGGCCCCGCAAGAGAGCCAAATCTGATGATTTACCAGAAACGTGTAAAATTGGTATTAGAAATACGTTAAACAATAATGTATGCACAAAGTGAGTACATCTGAATAGTATATCTCTTTTGCATGTCTGACATACATTTTATTACAGAAAAACATGTCACAGTTGCATCTTTAAATGCTCAAATTCGTAACAGTCATATATTACTGAGTGATAGAAATCTTCATCGTGCAATCTTGTCGCTAGGATTCAAGTTCAAAAAAGACTCTAATCGTAGAGCTTTATTGGAAAATAGCAACATAGCCGAAATTCGAATTAAATAAACCAAAATCGACTAACGATACTTTCTGCGATTTGACAGTTTTGCGCCTTCAAATAAACATCCAATAAATGACAGCTGTCGCCATCTCGGAGTATATTTTCTAATCAAGTTGACATTATTACGGAAGTAATTTGACTCATATTTTTCATATTAAACCATACGATTGTGAACTATGACGTACCGGCAATCTCTAATGGCGAGGATAGTAGGTAAAATAACAAGTTTTCCGTTGCACGTCATTACTGGAATAATTTCACGTACCAACCTAAATATTTAAATGGGATGTGTTGTTATAAGTTAAAAACAGTTTATTTGAAATTATACGGTTGGTACAGAAATGCGACGTTGGCGCGACTCTGTACTATGCATTTATGGTTATGTTGCTATCTGTCACCCATTCTGTCACCTTGCGTGTGTTTCGGATCGTCTAGTTTATCGTAATTTCGTGCCTTTTTATCAAGCTTCTCAATTCCACAAACCAAACTGTTCTTTGCAGAACAACTTTGTGTCGTACTGTGAAGCGTTATCTATTACGATGACGAAGAATTTGGATAGCACTGCTAAAAAAATGGTAGCATCTTTAATTTTGCATTTTGAACAAGAACGTGACCATGGAGGCCCCTTGTTACCTTTGCAGGCAGTAAGAGAGGTAACAAAAGCATAATTTTTACATTATAGTGTACCTATTCTACTAAGTAATTATCGTAGAGAGTGGCACAAGCTTTAAGTATCAGTATCTCCACGGTCAGTACCATATCAGCGGCAGTGAAGAAGAATGAAGTGTTGAAATCGCCTTCAAAGAATCGTCCTCGCCTTAAGCCTGTGACAGATGTATCTAATTTGAACATCGATGGTATTAGAAACACATTTTATGAAATGTACGAAAACAGTAAGTTGATCACACTTTGTGTAATCAGAGTTGCAGAAGTGCATGTTACATTGGCATCTGTGCATGAACAGCTTCGTGAAAAAGTCATTTTTCATGGTTCATTGGCATCATTGCGAACAGTGCTAAAAGAAATTGGATTTAAATGGAAAAAAGACGAGCCCAGGCGAGGTCTAATGGAACTACCCCATGTGGCAAGTAAAAGAATTCGTTTTCTGCGCCAATACAAAGATTTCAAGGAAAAAGATTTGTACCAATTTGTTTTTCTTGATGAAACGTGGATATTCCAAAATGGCACTATACAACGCTCATGGCAAGATAGTAATGAAAGAAGTGTGAAAACTATCAAAACTGATGGAAAGCGGTTGGTTTATTATTAATGGTGGTCACAATAATTATAGCAAAAAATATGTTACAGAAAAATAATTCTGCATGCTGGAAATGAGAAAGGCTTCATACCTGGTGCAAATTTAATATTTGCATCAAAAACTTCAAGTGGTGATTATCACGGAGAAATGAACCAGACGAATTTCCTACATTGGTTTCAAAATCAATTGCTTCCAAATTTAAGTGAACCGTCTGTCATTATTATCGATAATGCGCCATATCACAATATGGAAGTTAACAAAGCACCTAATGCTTCATGGAAAAAAGGTGACACTCAAAGCTGGCTAACTAATGAAGGAATTGTATATTCTGAGCAGATGCTTAAAAGTGAACTTCTGTTGAAGGTGTCACAGTAAGTACCCATACGTGTTTTATATATATATAAAAATTTTTATTTCCAGAAATAAACCAGAAAAAACATATTTTGTTGACCAATTAGCGGAACAATATGGTCATAAAGTGTTGCGCCTTCCACCCTACCATTGTATTTTTAACCCCATAGAGTTAATATGGGGTATAACAAAAAATTATTATAATAAACATATTGGTAGAGATGGGAGAACAGAGGCTGATTGTTTAAATATGTGGCAAGAAGCAGTTAATGTCGTGATATGTGGAAAAATTCAATAAAACACACTGAAGGTGAAATAATGAAATGGTATGAAAGAGAAAAAATGTTAGATATGCAAGATATACTGCCAATTATAATAAATTTAGGGGAAGATAGTGAGAGTGACACAGAAGATTCTTGTTAATTTGCAAATTAAGTAATTTGTACTTATTTACATTGTAAGATTATAAAATAATTACATAAAAGTGACTTATTACTGCAAAATACTATCCCCTGGCTTTGATGGTCAAGTATGACATGTAAATTGTGAAGCCTTTAAACCATGTAGAAAACTGAAAAGTATTAATGAATTTCTCGAAATTGCTGTCGGTACTTAACTTCCCAGTATGTAGGTACTTCAAAGTGTTAATCCTTACATTAAGCTCCAACATTAAAAAGTCGATCGCCTGTAAGCAATTGATAATCGTTACATTCCTGTACACGTAGATATCTTGTACTTCATGACAACTGAATATAAAGTTAAGATTTGTAACCTATATAGGTTGTCTGGTGGGTTTATTTTTGTATAATTTTCTTGTGTTAATGTTTATTTGATTCAAGTTTTGAAGATTGTAGGGATATATTAATTATGAGTAGGTACTGGGTGGGGTACTATAAAAAAACGTGTGGTTTTATGGCGGCAATTTAAAGGTAATTTCAGGCACGTAAAAGCGATTCTAAAATTGTTGATACTACATGCTTAGTAGGTCAAATGTGCAAGCAGTAGATACAATGATTTGAAAATAGTTCTATCGTATACTAAATGTTTGTCAACGCTGCATAAGAACGACGTCAGAAAATTAATGACGTGCAACGGAAAACTTATTATTTTACCTATAAAAGATTTTAATTAGGGTCTCGTTATACACCGAAAAAAAATAAATGAGTAACAAAATATGTCGTAAAGAATAAACTTCAATTCTGGCTTTGCTTGTGTCAATCACGCTACCGCCTCAGACCGGCTGACTCTCTCTCCTTCCGGAGGGTTTCGATCCCCGAACTCCTCGCGGGCGGAAAGCCGCTTCGGCAATATTAGCCGCTTTCTTTTCATCCAATAATTCTGATCGTACCGCGTTATGTAGGAGTTGGATTCAAAGATCGTGTTCTTTTCGTTTTAGGATCAGTCCCCACCTAAGTCATTTTTAGATCAGCATCGGTAATCCCCTTACCCTTCTGAATCCATCTAAATTTTGTATTCGATGGATTGGATCAGTGTTTACATTTGACAGCTTAACCTCACATTTGCTCAGCTAACATTAAAATGTGTTCTAACAATTTAAGAGAATTGAAATTACAAGAGGGAGAAGGTTTACAATATTCTCTACTTATTTCTGAAGACGAATATCAGCGCGCAACAACATGTATTTCCCTTTAATACAGAGGCGAAGGTACAATGCACTAATGATTGGTTTTTAGATATAACATTCGCACAAGAACTTTTAGATAGTTATAAAAGTGCAGAAGATTTAGAGTCTCAACATTCAAGTGCATCAACCAGTTCTACTGCTGCACAAGCCAACGAATCTTCTTCCTCAAATGAGGCATTTTGGACGGATGCTGAGACAATATTACTAATATCGCTATATAATGACAATAAAGACACATTTCAAAATGCAAGAAAAAGAAAACATGTATGGGTGATTATTTCGGAACAAATGGCAGCACATAACTATTACGTAAGAACTTATTGTAAAGTAAATTTTAATATTTAATCACGAATTGTTTAGCGGGCTCCTGACAAACCCGAAAGAAAATGGGCGAACTTAATGCGAGTGTACAGGTCCATTAAGGACAATAAAGGTCCAAGGAAAAGTGGACGAGGGGCTGTCCATTATAAGTACTTTGAACTAATTGATGAAATCCTGGGTGATAAACCAAGCAATATTGCAGCCCCACGAAGTGTTATTAATGCTGGCGTTAATGATGTAGTTTTACCAGCAGAGGAAACAGAGACGCCTATTTCTAATGATGCAATACAAACAGATAGCGAAAGTTCAAGTGCCACAACGGAGGAAGTATTAGAGGAACCGACACCCTCTAAAAAACGGAAATTAGGTACTCCCTTGAGAGAACGACTATTACAAAAACAAAAGCGGCATGATGAACGAATGCAAATAGAACAACAGAAACTTTTACTGGAGGAGAAGAAAGTAAAATTATTAGAAAAATATCTCGAACATTTGTCTGGAGATACAGAATAAACCCAATAATTTATGTAAAAAGGTCATTTACATTTCTAAATGTATACTTTTTTTTTTTATTATTCACGTTTGTACATAAGTATAGTTATTACTTATTTTTTAAATGTGTGCTTAATATCTAAGTTTCAATATTGTCAACAAATATTTCTTCATTAAAGTCGTTTGAGGTTTGACATATGTTGTGTAATACACACGATGCCCCTATACAATTTACCATAATACTTTGTTTTAGGTTTTCAAACTTTTGAAGTCGCCTGAACCTCCCTTTTAAGTGCCCAAATGCATTTTCCACCACTATTCGAGTACTTGAGTGACGGTAATTAAAATTTTTATCTTTAGTGCTTAAGTGGCCATTGTCCTTTTTCGGAGTAAGCAGCCAGTTCAATAATGGATATGCAGAACCTCCAACTAATTTGTATTTCGCATAGAATAAATCATCATTATTTTCTATTGCATTTTTATACAAAATGGATCGTCGAAACACTCTCGCATCATGCATTGATCCTGGTTCACCGACATAAATATCAGTAAATAGCATTCTACTAAAGGGTTTTTCAATAAGGATGGGTCGATTTTGACATGAAATAAAAAAGGCTGTATGTGAGATATTAACGAATTTTTTTTTAATTTTAAAAGAGCTATATATGCCATTATGTGTGGAATATCATATCGTTCAAATGTCCGCCGCGGCTTCTGACAGTGGCACGAATTCGAGTGGTCCAATTTTCAATGACTCTACCGCATAGATCCGGCTGAATTTGAGCGATAGCCTGAGCTATGTTGACTTTAAGGGCATCGGTAGATTGTGGCTTATTGGCATAGACCTGCGACTTAAGAAAACCCCACAAAAAAAAGTCTAACGGTGTTAAGTCGCAGGATCTGGGTGGCCAATTCACGTCACCTCTTCGAGAGATAACCATACCCTCAAAGCGTTCATGCAGAAGATCCATCGTGGCGTCCGCTGTGTGGCTTGTAGCGCCATCCTGCTGGAACCACATGTTGTCTAAGTGTAGATCGTTCAATTGGGGCCAAAAAAAAATCGGTGATCATCCTTCTGTACCGTTCGCCTGTGACGGTGATGGCTTCACCAACATCGTTTTCAAAAAAGTACGGACCAATGACGCCGCCGGCCCAAAATCTGCACCACACGGTAACTTTTTGTGGATGCATGGCTACTTGGTGAACTTCGTGTGGGTTGGTGTCGTCCCATATACGGCAATTCTGCTTGTTCACATAGCCATTCATCCAGAAATGCGCCTCATCGGAAAAAATGATTTTTCTGCCAAAGTTGGGGTCCTCTGCCACTCGCTGCGAAGCCCATTCGGCAAACAAACGGCGTTGCCTGTGGTCAGTAACTTTGAGCTCCTGGGTGAGTTGGATCTTGTACGGGTGCAGGCCTAAGTCCTGACGCAAAATGCGCCACGTTGAAGTCAGTGAAAGGCCGAGTTGTTGTGAACGACGAGGAATCGACTGCCTCGGGTTCTCCTGCACACTATCACGTACAGCAGCGATATTTTCGACGGATCTAGCGGTCTTTGCACGTACGGGTGTTGGTAGATTGTTGACTGAACCGGTCGCCTCGAATTTGGCCACCAAACGTTGGAGAGTCGACTTTGAAGGACTACCCCGTCTGCCATAAAATGGGCGCAATGCACGTAACGTTTGCACAAACGAACACTCATTTTGGTAATACAGTTTTAACATTTGGACGTGCTGCTCAACCGTGTAACTTGCCATGGTGATTTGGCATTACCAACTGAATAAAAAAACATAGGTTAGAAAGACGCCGTTAAAACAACATGGCCGCCACAGGCTGCCAACATCGACCCGTCCCTATTGAAAAACCCTTTATTTACTACTCCTTGCATGACAAGACTGTGGTACCCTTTTCTATTACAGTAGTCTTCAGGAAACTCTTTGGCTCGACAGCTGTAGGTCACTTTATATACTCTGAACTTATCCGAACAAGGAATTCAGTGACCTGTTTCACAGCCTTATGTGCACAGCTTAACGTTACATCAAATCTATCGCTAATCTGGCGAAACGTTTCAGTGTTTGCCAAATACCAAATTGTTATTAAAATTGCCTTAGTGGAGGTAATTTGTGGTCGACCTCCTTTTGTAGATGTCAAAGTAACAGTGTCAACTATTGTTGCAACACTAGTGCGCTCCATCCTAAAATGACTTTTAAAGTCGCTAGGGGGATACTGATCAACTGTCTCCATATAGTTCAGTATTCGAACATGATCTTGCCTTTCTTCAGAGTCATCGCTGTCACTAGAACTGGAACTAAATCAATAATTGTAAATACATAAACGTATAATTTTTAATTTGATACCAATATCAATTTATTAATTTCCATAACCATAAATCTCAATTCGAAAATTTTCTAACCTAACTGTGCGCACACAAAATTCAAATGTTCTTTTCGTCATTATAGGATCGGAACCTGTAGTTCACATGACATTGATCTGGATTCGTAAATCCAAGCAAAAGAAAGCGGCTATTATTAACCATTTTGAACAACTGCCGAGAAAGCCTACTTTACAAGTGGAAAAAAGGTTAATAATCGTGTCATCAGACGCTAGTTGTTAGTGGTATGTTCATTATTGGGGGACTCCGTGCGAGAGAGGTCACCGTCGTCTAAAAAGTAAAAACCATACCTAAATAACATTAACTACCACTGATCAGTAACTGTACAACCCACAATATTAAACAATTCAACAATCTGTTGTGCGTCAAAGTAACACGTGCTTATAATTTTTTTCTCTGCGACTGCTTCACTTCACTTCTTTTATAACTTGACACTGTTTATCAAATATGCTAGCAAATCACGAAATCGGATAGGATATGTAAAAACATTCACTGCGTCCATATCCTATACGAGTTCGTGCAACCGATCACCATCTTGTATAGGGAACGGAAATTTGCGTCCGGGACTACCCGTCTTCCCCCTCCTGAATTTTTCCACGCACTTTTCGAAAAACTGCTACGTCCATTGGTTGTGTAATATGGGTAGAATTTGGGCAGAGAGCAATCAAAATTATTCCACTTTCAGAACATAAATTGCTAAGAGCAAGAGTTAAGTGACTGGAGTGTCCATCAACAAACAAAACTATGGGCAAAATAATATTATTTTAGGTTTAAATTGTTCATACCTGGAATTTTGTTTTAGCTCAGGCACCCGAAGACTTAATTTGTGACGTGATGAAAAATATCTAATCCAATCGTCTCCTGGTCGTTGATCATTGAAAGGTGTTAGTTGTAGTTTTTTAACTACGTAATCATGCACAGTATTCAGAAATTCATTTTTAGTAAGTCCAAATCACCATTTTGCAATTAATTACAGACTCTTCTTCGGCAGAAAATACTAGTTTGCGACCTGGTTTAAATGAAGTAGCCACAGTTCTAGATTTCCAAGCATTTAAATGAAGTTGTATGTTATAAGTATCTGCTGCCTCAGCTTGACTCATAATTTTTCGTTCAACGGCTTCAATAGCGATTTGCAAGTCTTCAGCGCTGTACTTTTTTTCTCGCTTCTTTACGCACTTTCTCACCATTTTGTTCTTAAGAGAAATTCATATATTTATTTATATCTCAACGTAATCATTCTTCTCTGCGGATTCCACTTCTTCAGGCTCTTCGACGTCCTCTAGTGGTAATGGGTCGTCTGAAATTACCGACTCGTAGTTCTCCTCGTCTTCCGCTTTATCTGATGCATGGGTACCTCGAAGAGACGACGTGGCATTTAGGCACGATGTTCCAATGACACTGGACGCAGAGTTCATTACACTTCAGACCTACAACAAGAAGCATTATGTCAAAAATTTTTTGATAATTATGTATACGAATATAATATTCTCTCGTGTGTCCTTCTGATAACATGCTGCCAGCTGACAATGTCGCAAATAAGTTGGAATGATCTTCTACCTCATAATCCTCTAAGTAACCTGAAGGGTCTCTCTTTGGTACTCCTCCTTGACATCTGATTTCCATCGTTAACCCCAACGGAATCTTCTTGCTCAGCTTCGATGTTTTCATTGTTATCCACTTCTTCAGGATTCTCAACAAGTATATTAGGGTAAATCTCAGGATATAACATTTCTCGCGTGAGCAATTTTCTTTCTATCTTCATCCTCGTAATCTATACCCGTTACATCAACATTTTCTCAGTACGTGGGTGCAATTTCGAAGACCATACTTCCTTCAGAACTAAATTATACGCATTACAACCAAAGAGTTTAATCTTTGAAAGATTTTGCTTTTCCTTGTACCAAATTTCTGCAGGGGTTGTATTTTGATTTAGTGCCTTTGTTTCCAATCTATTAATCAAATAGGTAGCAGTTCTCATTGCTTCACTCCAAAATTCTTTTCTTAATCTCGAATCAAACATTTCGCCATTTCCATAATTGTACGATTAAACCGTTCAGCGACTCCGTTTTGCTCTGGATTGTACGCTACATTATACTGGATTTTAATTCCCCTTTTGATGCATAATTCCCTAAACGAATGCGAAGCGTACTCTCCTCCGTTATCACATCTTAACCTTTCTATTTTGCAATTAAATTTTGTTTCAACAGCACCTACATAAATCTTAATTTGCTTAACACAGCGTTTCTCAACCTTTCACCATTCGCGACCCAATTATCAAAAATAATTATTACCGCGCCCCCCTTACACAATAGCAATGTGTGTGTGTGTATGTGTAAAACATATATCAGTACATATATGGTGTACAATAATGCACCTTGAGTTTCGGGTTCAGAATACCGAACATTCTCGACCGTCTACGCGCAAGTGTATATGTTACGGTTAAAGTATTTACTTGGCTGGTATATAAACTAGTTGGATAGTATACAAACTATCCAACTGCCTGGTTATTTTGATGAAAAATCATATTTTCACTAAAATAGCTACGAGTAATGGCTGGTTTGTATACTATCCAGCTAGTTTATAAACTATACAAAATTTATCGCTAAAACACAAACCACAAGGAAATTACACAAATTAACTAGCATTTTTGGCTAATTTGTAAACTATCCACATTAGTTGGATAAAGTGTGAACCTGATATTGGTAGTAATACATAATAACCAACGAGTTGGTTATTTTGTAAACCAACCAACGCGAGTTGGTTATTATGTAAACCAACCAATTCTCTTTGGGTAATTTAGTGGGGTTATGTTTCGTCAAGTGTTGTGTGCTGTGACGGTGTACAGTTGTGTTTCGTGAAATTTGTTTAATAATAGGTATCGGGTTATTAAAAATGAATCAACAGCAACAATTTGAAAACCTATTATTAGAAGTTTATGACCAAAAGTCGCAAAATTCAAAATTAATGAATGATAGCGATTATAGTGAACTTTTGCAACGTATCAAAAGAATACGCGAAACTGGACCTGACAGTAGTAACAAGAGTGATTATCATGTGATAAATACTTATGATTTACAAAGAATCGAATCATCTTATGTAATTCTACATAGAAGATCTGGAAAGATTATTTTACGTTTGAGTGAATGTTATGATGCGATTAAAGCTGCCCATCAGGGAACTGGACATGGAGGGCGTCAAGCAACAACAAAATTATTAAACGAAAAGTATCACAACTTAACACAGGAAATGGTAAAATTGTTCATTGAAACTTGTGAAAATTGTCAGTTTAAACGGAACAAAACTAAAAAGGGAATTGTTGTTAAACCAATTGTTTCAAACCATTTAAACTCTCGATGCCAAATCGATCTCATTGACTTACAAACTAGACCAGATGGTGACTACAAATTTATTTTGCTGCTATGGATGAAATAAAACAAAATCAATACATTTTGATTTTTTTAGGTGATTGAGGAATTAGTCGGAATGTGGCCTGACTGCCAAATTGTGCATGGTAAACCGAGACATTCACAATCACAAGGTTCAGTGGAGAGGGCGAACCAAGATATAGAGAACAAGTTAGCGTCGTGGATGAAAGATAATAACTCGACAAAATGGAGCGAAGGTTTAAAAATCGTTCAATTTCAAAAAAATCGGTGAGTAAGCTAGTATTTTGAAATTTAAGAAAAGAAACTGTGTTTTTCTTTGTATAAGTTACGTTTTACTTCAGTTCATTGTTTTTTGTAGCTGCTTTCATTCTGGTATTGGACGCAGTCCTTATGAAGCTTTATATGGTGTAAAATGTAGAGATGGTTTAAATAACCTCCCTGTTTCTATCACAAACATTAAATCCATACGTACAGAAGAGGAACTGGAAACATTATTATCTTCTAGTAATGACACCGAGGATAAAGTGGAAGAAGATTCACATCCTTCAAATAATTTTGTACCCGATGAAAAATCTACAGTCACTGAAGAGGAAATGGCCGCCCAACAATTGTCTGGTACGTATCTAGAAAGTATTTCCACATTATTTCACAATGCAACCTAATTTCTTTTAGATTTAATTGAAAATGCTACGCTGGTTATGCTGCCCGATAATACTCATAGGCCAGTTGTATTCGCAGATAATACTGAAACCCCAATTTTACTCGAACTTAATACCGAAACCCCAGTTTTACCCGAAAATAATACTGAAACCCCAGTTTCACTCGAAGTTAACAATAGAACCTCGGTTTTATTTAAAGAACAAGCAATGGCATTGCTCTCTACTGAAACAACAGAAAATGCTCTCAATGAATCATTACCACAAAAATGCTTATTATGTTCTGATGAAAACGTGTGTGACCATTGTCAGAATAAAAACAATATTAAAGCTATAAGGGATTCATGCCAGGAAAGTCTAAAAAGGCAAGCACAAAAAATGCTACAAACTTCTCGCAAGAAATTTAAACCAGGAGCTGTCGGCATGTCCGTGAGAGTACCCATTCCAGATGTAGATCGAAGTCGGTCAGATCATAGAAATATATTGGGCGTCATAATGAGTGTAGAAGATGAATTTTACCGAATTGGAACTGTTCACGGTGTTCTTAAACAGCTTTATTCCCGCAACGAATTTGAAATATGTAAGCAACAATTTTTAAAGTTGGAAAATGTCAAGACGGACACCGAAATAACATTACGAAGCGCTGCAGGAAAATTTTCAGTATCGGGTTCAACCCAAGGATATGTGCGATGTCACTGCAAGAAGAGTTGTGCGAATAAAAAGTGTAAATGTCTTGCGTCTGGATATACCTGTAATAGTAAGTGCCACAACAGTGCAACTTGCTCCAACAAATAATACTGTTCTTTGTTTGGTGGTTTTATGCCCGGTTTCTCCAACAAAATATAAGCTGTACCTTAGGCAAGGCGGTCTTAATTGTAAGGCGTCCTTAAAATTAAATTACGTTGCACCAAAATTTTAAGTTCGCATCTTAGCTAAGCATCAGAATTTGTCTGAAACGATCTGGCAACACAGAATTTTATCAAATGAATGCCAATTTTACTAATGAATCGCGTTACCGAAGGTAGGTACCTAATAATTGCAAACTGTCAAACTTGATAGTTACTCCACAGAATAAGGCCTTATTCTGTGAGTTACTCGTCATTGCCCCACCGAACCGTGCACCGAACTTGTTAGACATCGGCCAACATGCATTCTAATAAAAAAAGAGTGAATTACACTCAAGAAGAAAAAAAACTATTAATTCATTTGGTTGATTCAAATAAAAATATCATCGAAAATAAAGATACAAACGCCGTTTCAAACCATCAAAAAGATGACGTTTGGAAAATTATTGAGCAAAATTTTAATAAAAAGTGTTTCAACGTCTTTCGTGACGCCAATTCTTTACGGAAGCAGTGGAGCAATATGAAGCAGGACTCAAGAAAAAAGGCGGCACTAGAAAGGCAGGAGCTTTACAAAACTGGTGGAGGAGTTGCTCCTGCACTTTCTTCGAAAAATTGTGAAGCAAATGAACAATTGGTTTTGGATATAATAAATAAGAAGACAGTCCTTGGTCTAAGAAATGAATTTGATTCTGATGTAATGAAAGGTAAAATTTACACTCGAATTTCCATTAATTATATTTTTAGTGAGGCACACATAGATACAAGTATTTTTATATTTTGTAGAACCTATATTAGATCATCCAGCAGAGGATATTCTTGGAATGCCGATTTTGATATCTTCCAAGCCCAATCAAGAAGAAATTAACATAGAAATACCGTGTACATCCAGTACACCTTCGATTACACCTTTAGAACAAACACATGATGAAACTGAACTGTGCAATCAAAACGTTCTGCTTACTTACGAAGAGCCCACGCCCACACTTTTACGAGGCACTCGTTGGTCTGCTCGAAGGAGACCTAAAATTAACGCAGACCTGGGACCTACAGAAAGAGCTAAAATTGAAGTACTACAAATTCAAAAAGAAATTCTTTTGCAAGAAAAGGAGCACAAGAAAATGTTACATGCCATGGAAGTTGAGCACAAGAAAAAAATTTACTTAATGGAAGAGGAAATTGGGAAGTGCTCTTGTTCCAAGTAAATGTTGCCATAAAATAAATCTAGTATTTTTTCGAAGAATGAATTCATTTAAATAAGTATAAGTACGTATTTTCAATTTTAATAAAAAATGTTTATTGTAGTAGGTATGTTAATATGTAATATAATTTATCTTTAAACTTGCAAAATACGAAAATTACAATCTAGAAAAATATATATCTACTAAATGTCTTCTATAATCATAGCCTAAATCATTTTCTTCGGCGGCTAAAGGAATATCTCCATCTCGAATTGCTTGCTGAAGCTCGTGTTCCATAATTAAATTTTCAATAGGTGGTTCTGGTTCTCCCCTCAAACGAGCCAAATTGTGCAAAACTGCTGTAGCCACAATAACACAAAGTACATTTTCTAGCTTCATTCTACATCCATACGCTATTATAGGAAATCTTCTTTTCCAAACACCAAATAGATTTTCTACCTTGACTCTACTTTGAACGTGACTTCTGTTGTAGTTTCTTTCACCATCGTTCTGAACATTCAGAAAAGGTGTAAATAGATATGAAAGATTCATATAACCGCTATCTCCTAAAAAGTAAGTAGCGATTGTAAATTAATATTGAAAAAAGTGCTATTTACCCAACAAGATACTATTTCCAAAGTCTCCATTATTGAATCTATGCATTAATCGTGAATTTCTAAAAATGGTGGTATCGTGCGTCGAACCTGGCCAACGTGCGACGATATCTTGGAATAACAGGTCAGCACTTGTAACGGCTTGCACATTTACAGAGAAATATCCCTTTCTGTTTCGATATATTTCAGCATCAGCTCCACCTTTAAATTAAATTCTTATTTGTAGAAATGAGCGAATGTAAAGTATAATACTAAAAATAATGTGAAAAAAATAGTGTAGTAAGTACCTTGTGATTGAATTTTTATATGACATCCATCTATTGCCCCAATGACTCTAGGGAAACCAGCAATGTCGTAAAATTTATTCTGAGCACTTGCAATTTCAACTTCATTTCGAGGCATGTATATAAATTCCCTTGCAATTGATGCTATGAGCCTTGAAACTTTTGAAACAATTTTACATACTGTTGACTTGTCTGCATGCACAAAGTCTCCAACAGCAACAAAATGCCCTGCACTGGCATAAGCTCTTAACGTTAGCAAAAGTTGATTCATGGGACTGATGGAATTATTCCTGAATTTCAAAAAACATTATTGTACACCTTGAATTCGCACTATACAATAGTCACAAAAAGCATTATATGTAGGTAAGTATACAAACGTGAAACAAACCTATGAATGATGTGTACTTACCTGTTATGGAAGTACTCTAGTCTATGTTCTATTTTCTCCAATAAATATAAAGCAGTCCCTTTTTCGAGTCGAAATCGTCGAAAAAATTCAACATTAGAATAAATATTAAATAAATTTCTCCTAATGTGAATTTGCCGTGGTATTCGAATATTTTCTACTATGTCTACCATATCAACCACATCGACATCATCGACATCGATCAATTCCATTTTGAAAAGTGACGTTTGAAAGACAAAATGCCACTCATTTTCAACTTCACTAACAATAATGCCGACTTAAGTCGCAGATTTTCACGACTTAAATGTAAGGCTGCCTTTGTGAATATAAGATGCAGATTTGCGTTGGTGCAACGTTTTAAGATAGACTTAAGATTTAAGGCGATCTTAAGATTCAAGTAGAGCTTAAGATACATTGGAGAAACTGGGCATTAATGTCCTGACATACTTTATTGTTAATATTTTGTCACCTGGTATTATTTGAGTTATATTTCTTTTACTTTTTCTAAAGTAATAATAGGTACCTGTAACAATCTTACATTGTACCAATAAAGAAACCATTTTTGACTAAGGATTTTACTATCTTAAACTAAATTAACCCAAGAGAACTGATTAGTTTGTTGAGTAATACATAATAACAAACTCGTTGGTTATTATGTATTACTACCAATATCAGGTTCACACTTTATCCAACTAATGTGGATAGTTTACAAACTAGCCAGAAAATGCTAGCTAATTTGTGTAATTTCATTGTGGTTTGTGTTTTAGCGATAAATTTTGTATAGTTTATAAACTAGCTGGATAGTATACAAACCAGCCATTACTCGTAGCTATTTTAGTGAAAATATGATTTTTCATCAAAATAACCAGGCAGTTGGATAGTTTGTATACTATCCATCTAGTTTATATACTAGCCAAGTAAATACTTTAACCGTAACATATACACTCTTCAATTTTGGTCAGTCTCAGTCGAGTAAAGTGGTTCGGTCTGTGCTAAATTTATTGTGAATGCGTTTGTTGTAATTTGCGTGTTAATTGCATTTAGGCCAGTTCTGTAGTTGGACCGGCAAAGGAGGTAATTTAAAACTATCGGATACCCTGATAATTGAAATAATAAAAAGTAAGTTTATCTTAGGGCCGAGATATCCACCTTCTAATAAACTACTTAATAAATTTATTTAGCTAATAAACGTTTTTTACGGATTTTCACCTCCTAACAATTAATAGGTACCTAGTAACTAACCTTATTAGCTAAATATCTTATTAGCTAGTATGAGCTCCTGATAAGGTAGTTTAAACCATCAATTACAAAAGTTTCTTGTGATATTAATCTTCGTAAAATATACGTGAAAGGTAAGTAAAATCAAAAGTAAAAAAAATATTTTCCATTGACATACCCTTCTAATTTACTTATATACCTAACCTCAAAAGCAATTGCAGGATCTTAAAAAAAATGTATTTTCATGAACTGGATGATGAAATAGAGATGCAGGAAATTGAAGATTTAGGATTAAATCGCCAGAGATATATGGTTAAGGAGAGACAAGATAATTTCCATGGATGGAATGAGGAACAATTTTTCAATCGCTTTAGAGTGACAAAAAATACTGCACTTCACATTAATGGTCTCATTGAAGACAATATAAGACATCGCACAGATAGGTAAATCGTGTAATGGTAATTAGTTTGTATACCACATCTTTTATCGTTTTAGAAATCATGCTGTATCACCTTTACAACAGTTACTAGTTGCTCTTAGGTTTTATGCTTGTGGTAGTTTTCAAATAGTAGCTGGAGATTTTGGAGGTTTACATCGAACCACTTCTGGACAAATTATAAGAAGAGTGTCAAGGGCTATTGCGGAATTAAGCCCAGTGTACATTAAAATGCCAGATACCGTTGAGGAAATGACAATAATCAAGCAAGGTTTCTATGCTATCGCAAGGTTTCCTAGAGTTATTGGTGCCATTGATTGCACACACATAAGAATCCAAAATCCAGGTTAGTTCCTTATATGATAGTGAAGTGTTAGCTATATTTTGTACCTAGGTGGTGAACATGCTGAGAATTTCAGAAACAGAAAAGGTTTTTTTCTATCAACGTCCAAGCTGTATGTGATGCAAACTATAAAATTAGAAATATTGTATGTCGTTGGCCAGGAGCAAGTCATGACAGCCATATATTTAGGAATTCAACAATTCGTATGAAATTTGAAAACAATGAAATGGAAAATAGCATTTTATTAGGCGACAGCGGTTATCCTCTCTGTCACTATTTAATTACTCCAATTAATAATCCAACAAATCCCGCAGAGCACTATTTTAATGAATGCCAAATCGGAACAAGGACAATAATTGAAAGAACATTTGGTATATGGAAACGGAAATTTCCTATTTTGTCACTGGGACTGCGGAACAAATTACCTATGTGTCAAGACATTATTGTAGCTACGGCAATAATTCCCAACAT